TTTTTAAGAGTCAATTCCATCTCTCTCTCTATCTGTATGAGTTTTACGTGTTTCTCTTTCACTCTCTCTACCAGTTTTACATGTCTCTCTTTCGCTGTCTCTGTACCAGTGTTTACTGTTTGTTTCTATATCCTTCATACTGCTTGTCTGGATAGAATAGGACTGAACTTTGTCATTGGCTTTTTTTTTTAATTTCTTTCTATCGGCTTTGCTGTTTTCCAGAGCTCTTTTTCCATATTGGGAAGCTTGAATTTGATGTATGTTGAGTGGCTTGGTAGAATCGGACTGAAAGTTTGTGAATTCCGTAAATCTTTTTGTTATTTGTTAAATTCACTTCTATCCCTCCCTCTTTCTTACTATTTCTCTACCAATTTTACTGTTTTTCTAGTGTTTCTTCATACTTGGGTGCTTGAAAATATGCACATTAAATGCATTTGTGGCTGGGTGGAATTGGACTGAGACCTAACACACCTATGTCTCCAGAAGTCTACTTCTGCATGTGACAACATAAGAAGCATGTAATAAATTGTCACAGTGGCAGACACATCACTAAATTAACTGCATTTAAAAGGACAACCCACTCTCTCTAATGGCGCATTAGAACTCAGCTACCCAAGATGCTATGACTAACAATAGCTCAGAAATTGTAGGTCTACCTATGTCAACATGAGAATCCATGTGCACAAATGGAACTTAAAATAGTACATCATGGTTGTATTGGCTTGAGAAAGTAATAACAAAATAAGAGTTCCATATTCCACATTAATAAAATACACAACTTTCCTACAAAAAAAGGCATTACGCACATGCATTATCATCATCTAAACATGTTTAACACTGACAAGTGCTGAGAAAGCAGGTCAGCATAGTTTATATGACAGTTTGTTAGAAGAGGAAAGCCACATGGCTTCCATGGTCAATATTCTATAGGATGAAGTTCAGCACTTAAAAAACAAGTAGTACTTATAATTCACCAAACTATTATCACATTAATATGCATGTATCCTGAAGTAACATAGATCGAAAGTCTTTGATACCTAAATGTCAATGACCCTCAGCTTATAACCAAGAAAATGTTAATGACATATTTTAAGAAAAGCACCAAATGCAATAACCACATCAGTTCATGGCCACACTTTATGGCAGCAGAGTAAAACAAGTGAAGAAAGACAAACCTGTGATTATTCTGAACCTCCATTTCTATTGCTCCATTTTGTGGTTCATCTCTAACTTTTGATAGTGGAGAGATGACCTGAATGAAACAAACAAAAATAAGCATGCATGCATACAAAAACAAAACCTTTAATTCCGTGGAGCAGAACCAACCAACCACCTGATGCATGGAGATAAAGACAAATGAGATTCCTAAGACAAATTTTATGGTCAAAGTATGACCAAACAATGCTGCAGAGGATATGCCAGTGAAGATTGTCGCAACAATAGAGATTACTTCTTCAAAATTGGTCTGCATGCAGTTAGAAAGGACTTAAGAAAAACAAACAAAAAATAGTAAGAATGGAAAAATCAAACTTAGGAGCATTAAATAATATAATCAGCCTGCCCAACCAATACCATAAAAATTTGAAAAAATGAACCAGTTAACAATAAATTCTTTGGACCTGCATATTTGAAAAAGAAAGAGGAAAGAATTCCCTGATCTGCATTGTTACAATCAGAAAACATTGTAGCCTTTGAATGCCCTTGAAGAATATTGAAGTGACTTGGCCCTGGAAAAGTAATTAAATAACAATACAAAATAAAAATTATTTGCAACATGTAAATAAGGTTGATCACTATGTGCATTCAAATTTCAACAAGCAATATTTGCATTCCCAAGTAGTCCCTACTTTTTTCTTTGGTAAATCCCATTATTCCAGGATTCAGCCTTTGTTACTACAATAGAAGTTGCACATTCATAATGCACATATGCACAAAGCAGACAACAGTTTTTGATACCTTTGAATATATATATATATATATATATATATATATAGTTGACAATGTTACTTAAATCTTATTGATCAAAGAAAATTACAATATCACGAGCAATTAATAAGCTCATCAACAAGAAGGAGAGATTCCAAATGTGCTCTATATTTTGCTAACCCATCTGTCAGACTATTATCTTTTCGATAGACATGGTGAAAAGAAGCAATCAACCCAAGGGGGCACAGTCTCAGTGCCTCTGAATTGATCGACGGTGTTGTCTTTGTAAAGAAGGACAAAGTGGGGATAATCAAGCAATATTTCCTTTTGGGCTTCCATTTGCAGGGAGAGAGGGAGAGAGAGGAATAATGGGTCTGTGTCTATATGAGAATATGGTGGTTTGGGAGCACGGAGAACGATGATATAGAGAGAGGCTTCATTCTGTGTCTATATATAGATTTTCATGATAACCTGTATGTATATTTTTGGTTGAACTTGTAGCTTGGGGCTCAAGAATAGTAGTAGAACCAAATCTTGAGCAGTTTCAAAGGAAAGAGTTGAAGCAGTGGAAAATGGTCCAAGCCCAAAATCAAAATTAGACGCCATGGATGATTAATGAAAGAGGAAAATTATAGAACTTTTGTTGGAGTGCCTCCAAACTGGTCCTTCAGAATTGAAAATTTACCTTTGAATATACCAATCCCAAGAATGGCAATGAAGTTGAATATTGCGCCGTAGCCGTACAAAAATAAGTTCTACAAATCATAGAAAACAAAGCCCTTGTGTCAGACATGTTCAGGACTTTGAATAGAAGGGCAAATAAGTACTTAAATCTGAACAGGCATTTCTGAAAATCTGATTGTATGGGACATCCTCCGCAAAATAAACCAACCAAGATGAAACTACCAACAGTTCCAAACCAAAATGGCTAGCATGTGTCAAAAGAATTTTGAATTTTCAGCAAAGATGCTTCGAAAAAATCTATGGTTTCAGGGTGAAAAAGGTTCTTCCTGGGTACCAAGGGGCAGCACCACAGATAAAGTTCTTATAACGTCCACATGAACAAGAACAACTCACTAAATTGAAGGTCATGTTTTACGGAAACCAAAAGCAATTAATGGAATGGCAGATATACAATTAGAGAGACACAGCCCTGTTTATCTACCACAGTTTGCAAGCGATGGTCTTTGTCAGCAACGATTCACCTGAAGGTAAATTCTTGTCTCAAACTGACTGTTCAAGACATACTCATTATAGATGGACGAGTCACCTGGAATTGAATTAGAATATCAGTGATCAAAGAAAAATGTGAACCAGGTCAGAAGAACAATTTCTTACTCAATCCCAACCTCAATGATCTGAGTGAACTCTAATTCTTTTAATATATGAGTTAAGAAGGCAAACTGTTGGGTTTTGTTAGAGAAATGTCCTCAGTCGTGTGCATGAAAACACAATGCAGATTCAGTCATATAGTGCCAAGTCTTGAATTGCCAATAAAGTTTTTGCCATCAGAAAAGGAATCGAAAACTGAGCATAAAATCTCATAATGAACACATCCATTTCCTGAAGTCCATTACATGAACCAAAGTTGATATAAGGTTGCAACCTTAAAGTGTAGAATCATTGATACACCTTAAAAATCCATTAGAAAAGGTTGTTTTAATGCTAAAAAAACCACTAACTGATCATCTCGACATCGAGATGCATGAATATGAAATAAAATAAAAAAAGATAGGATTTTGAGTCCAAAAAATAGTGTATCTGCAATGCATTTTTTAGATCATCTGTTTTCAAGATTTTCATATGTTTATATATCTATTTGATTTTAACCATTTTTCAAATTTAAAATTTTATAATTAGATATAAAAATAGATTTTAAAATAATCCTAAAAATATTTTTCACAAAAATTACATGATTAAATTTGAAGGTGCAACCTTATAGAAATCACACCCTTATAATAAACCAAATCACACCCTTATAATAAACCAAATGGATTAAAGTATGGAGGGAAAAGACAACAAAAGAGTATAGAGAGAAACGACAACTACAGAGTCAACATTGTTTATATAGTCCCAACTCATTAGCTTGAAGTATGGGATGAATATTGTCCCAAACGGGGATGGTTAGCGACCGAGCAATGGCTTCCCAATCCTACATATATTTTCAATACATTAACGTTAATAGAATCTTTGGAACGTAAAAAGAAGAATATATAGGGATACAATAAAAAGGAAAAAAAAAAGGAAAAAAAGAAAGAAAATACGGATTTCATTATTGTTAAGAAACAATATGAGAAGCTACTAAGTACAGCCTAACATTAAATGTAAGATAAAAAATACCAGGGTCCGGTGTCTATGAGGTTGCAACGTTAAACAAACTTTTCTCAAAATACAAAAAGAATTTTATTCACATCTTTTAGGCAATCCAAACCATAGTTAGCAAGTCGGGGACTATCAATAAATCGGTTCACCATAAAATAAAAAACAAATCATTTTTTTTTTCAAAAATCGGATGAAAAAATTGGATACAAAATAAGGATCGGCAAAAATACTTCATATAAAAATATCGTTAATATATTGGATTAGACTAAAAAAATTGGAGTAAAAAAATCGGATAAATTTATAATATTAGAAATTTTGAAATTTTAAAAAATAAAAATTATGTCAAAATCATCAATTACTAATTCATCTATAAAAACTTTATTAGACTAATATAATTACATCAATTAATTTAGATGTATTGTGACTCTCATTCAATCATTTAATATTAAATACATAATTAAGTAGTATATACCAAAAAAATGTACCATATAAATGTACCCGTTAAATATTTTAACAAACATCACACCTACTTATTACGTACAACAAGAAATATACTATATAAATTTATTTATTAAAATACTTTAACTATGTTATGGTGTGAAATATACTCTATAAATTTATTTATTAAATACTTAAACCTCACATCTATATACAGGTATAAAAAAAATACACGATTTTTGTTTTCTCATTACCATGATTTAACTATGGTATGGTGACTATGGGCATTCCGTTAAAGTTTTATAAATTTCTTTAAATGAAAAGAGGCTGGTAGAAATTTGGGTTCACGTCTGTGTCTACGGTATAGAGAGAGAAGAAGGCTCGTAGTAGAAATTTGGGTTTCACATCTGTGTTTACGGTTTAGAGACAAGGAAGAAAGGAAGAAAGGAAGAAGGAAGAGAAGAGAGAAGAAGGAAGAAGGAAGAGAAGAAAATAGGGCTGGGCTCATAGCCATTTGGGTTTATAGAGAGAATAAAAAGAAAGAAGAAAGAGTTTATGGGCTTCACAAATCCTAATGGAAGAGACCCTGATTTTTAGAGAGAGAAAATGAAGAACCCTAATGGAAGAGGCCCTAACTGATTTTTAGAGAGAAAAGGAAAATGGGATGATTTGGGATAATTTGAAGAGGGTTTTTGTCTCTGATTTGAGATAGTTTGAAGAGGGTTTTTCATTTTCTTGGCGAAACAGGATAGTCTGAAGAGGGTTTTTCATTTTCTTGGAGAAACGGCAAGCAGAGCTGAAGGATTAAGTTTGGGGAACTAATCCTATATGTACAATTGCTTCCTCCTGTAAGTATACAGTTTATACAATCAAAAACAAAATATCGATTACTTGGTCCTGTAGTCACTATCTCTGCCTCTCATCATCAGTAAAAGACTATGTTTTGAGATCTAATTTGTGCCATAAACAGTATTTTCATAAAAACAATTATCACAAATAATCACTGAAATCTGCATGTATATGATTTCTTTACACAGTGATTTACTTTACAAAATGATTTGCTATAAACAGAATTTCATTTACACAATGATTTTCTAGAATAACAACTGAAATGTGCATCTATTTGTTTAAGTTTTAAAAAAAAAATTCATACCATCAATCTGCAACTGTGGATTTGAAGAACACAGGGGATAAAAGTTTCTATTTTAGGTTTTTTTTTTGAAATAATAATTTTTTTAAAAAGCATGAAAGTAGCAATGGCTGCAATACACAAAACAGGAAAAAAAGAAAAATCTTTCAAACAAAAAATATAGGTAAAAAAGAATACGATTTTATTGCCTGATTTAAATCGTATTATGAAAAAAGACACGTTTTAAACGGTTTTATGAAAACAATTTGATTTTTTGCCGACCTTTTCAAAGGTCACCGTTTAAAAATGTTTCCATAAAAACAGCGAATTCTTAAAAAAATCGCCAATTAAACGGCGATTTTGATCCAAACAGACATTCTTTATTTCTTATCAAGTGCTTTATCCCATAACACGCTCCTCCAGGTACAGGCCCATGGTACGAATTCCCACGTTTTTAGTAACCCTCCCTCCATTCGTCTCTCTCTACACTTCATTAGACGAGCAAGACCTTCAGATTTGCGGAAATCTCAACTTTTCCCCACAATCGTTTGCATAAAGTGGCCAGTGGTTTCCCATCTCTCTCTCTCTCTCTCCTCTCTCTCTCTCTCTCTCTCTCTCTCTCTCTACTCTCTACTCTACTCGTTACTTCTTACTTCTTACGTTACGTTACTTACGTTACGTTACGTT